CGGAGCTCAGCTCGCCAGCAGGACTACTTCAGCCAACGGAACCGGCCGCTGGCCAGCAAGGCGCGGTGCAGCGTGTCAGCGGAGTGGTTGCGGCTGAAAAGCCCGGCCCTAGCAGACCAGCAGACAGCGGACCAGAAGACCAGTGGACCAGCAGACCAGCGGACCAGCGGACCAGTGTGCTAGCGGGACAGCGCACCGGCGTGACCGCGCAGTCCTGGCCGCCACACAGTTCACTGACCCAGCAGCAGGACCAGCGCGGCGGCGAGCAGCAGCGCCGGCGGCCAGACGGCAGCCGCCGCGTTACACAGATCCGTGGAGCAGTAGCACGCCTTGTCCTTGCATTCGTCGCGTACCAACGGAAAACAGGAGCGCACGACGTTCTGGGGGTCCGCCGGGTCGGTGACAAAGAGACAGCCGCGGTCTCGGTCGTGGCACGTCTGCACGAACCGCTCGTCGTTCTTGTTGAACTGCTCGCACGAGGGGAACGTCTCCAGCACGTGGGTGATATCAGCCGCCAGGGAGATGCCCGCGATCGGCGCCTTGCTTATGCACGCGTAGCACTTCAGCGCATGGGTGGCGCCCAGCAGCGGCAGCAGGAGTAGCACGGAGCGCAACATGGCGCAGGGGGAGCGGCCGGGGCGATGACTGACGCGTCGGCGGCGGCGGCGGGCGCGCGCTGCCTGCAGCGTGACCTGGGCCGACAAAACCAGTCCAGCCGGCCGCCGCGCGCCCTGGTCTCGCCCACGCGCCGGGGTCGCACCCATGGGTCGCGCCAGGGTCACCATTCGTAAAAGAGACGTATCAGGGGTCACGGGTCATGACAGAGGCATATCAAGAATCATGAGTCAACCCAAAGGTCACATATTAGAGGTCACCATCGACATAAAAAGATAATGAGAGATGAGCCGCGTAACGGCAGCCGGAGGTCTCGAGTCCTGCCAGGGGCCTCTTAGGGATCATCAAGTCACTCCGCCGACGTATCAAGACTGCGGAGATATCGAGCCTTCTATTCCGCGCTTGTTTCTAAGTAGCGCTAAAAGCGTTGTATTCAAGTCGCCAAAAGCCATCAGGCAACTTAACGCGAGAGGAAAAGGTCTCGACTCCTGCAACGGAGACCTTGGGACTACGTGTCACGCTGCGAGCATAGCAGTGGGCATGACTTACGCCAGTGTACATCAGGGGCCAAGGGTCAAGCCACGAGAATACTAGGTGCCACTTGTAACTCCAGTAACATCGGGGGCCTCGAGTTCTGCCTTTGTAATTTCCGGGCTCTTCAGTCACACCCGAGACACAGCAAGAGTCATCAATCACGTCTATCCCTGGTCAGGGGTCATGTCTGATTTAGGAACGACAACGGAGACAAGAGCCACGCTCGGGCCGCAGTAACTCGTAACTCGTAACCAACTCGACTAAGAGTTATTGATTAACTAACTCGACATGCCAGGGCTACGACGCCGCTCCCCAGACGCGTGGGCCACATTAGGTCGCGTCACGGGTTACGAGCCATGGCAGGCCTGCGGCGGTGTCGCGACATTAGTGCTACGACAGAAACTCCTAACGACAGGAGTGCTACGACAGAATCCCTTAACAACAGGAGTGCTACGACAGAAGCTCTTAACGACAGGGAGCGCTACGACATCGGTTCTATGCGCTACCAGTTCTGCAGCAAGACTTATACTCTTTCTTATATGTCACCATACTCCTAGCAGAACGAGTCATATGTGGCATAAGTGCTACACGGACAAAACTTTAAAAATAATGAAAAAACTTACACTCAGAAAGCCTATACCCGTCATTGCGTCAAGTGTAAAACCGATATAGCCTTCACTTTCAGCGACATTGGTTCTTCTGCCAAAACTTGGCTGCGACTTTTGTTCAATACGATACAGTCCAACACGCACACGTTATTAACCGTCAGTACTCCCAACCCAAAAGTGGAGTCTCACAAAGTTCCTCCAGAGGAAACTGACACGGACACAGCAAATAGCTTGCCATATATCAAACTGCAGGTGCCAACTCCATGGTTGTTCGATATATATTACTGCCGTAAATATTACAATTGACAGACCCACGACGATAATAGATCTCTGATATATTTTTCTGGATAAAGCGCTCATGGTTCAGTGTTGTGGTGTTTAAAAGCAAGTTCTGGGGCTAAGCAGGGAAAACGGCCAAACATGCTGCAAAAGACATGAAACACTTTGTTTGCGCTCAATGTGACGCACCTTCCCGCCACAGGTGAGGCGCAGATAGGGTTCCCAAATGAATACGAAACTACACGACTGTCCTGTTATTCACTGAAACATTGACATTGCTTCTACTACAATTACTTGTGTAAGGCTCTAGTGCTACATGACAAAACTATTGCTTCAAAATTTGCCCCCGTCATTGTGGTTTTGTTACCCAAACTAAAGTCTTTTGAATGAACAGCTTTTCGTGTCGTCACCACGAACATTTTGTTGCAGCATTCTCCAAGTGGCGTTTCCTCCTCACCTGTGAACTGTTCCCACACCTCTGCTAGGTGTCCGATACAAGTTTCGTCATGTAGCATTTATGTCGAACATAAGTATTGGCAGTACAAGTAAGGTCGTAGCAGTCCTGTCGGCAAGGGTTTTTGTTGTATCACTAAGGTCGCTAAGCCATCCACGACAGGGATCGCATATCACGCCACGGTCGCATCTATCTTTACAAGACACGCTGGGGAGCCCGTAAGGGGTTACTCTACAGGCCAAGGCCCCGGAAGAGGTCACCAGGTGCGCTAGGGCCAGGAAGGGGTCACGAGTCCCTGCAGCACCAAGATAGGGGTCGCACGACTCGCCAGAATCGCGCCATTGGTTGCCATTCATCCCAGGGGCACATCAGGGGTAACAAGTGACGATAAGAGCACGACGGGGGGCATGAGTTACGCCACGGACGAGACGAGGCCACTAGACACGCAGCGGCCACCAAAGAGGCCCGAGTCACGCCGGTCCAACGACAGGGGGTCTCGAGCCATGCCGCTAAAACTGATCACGCTGTGGGCACACATTGTAGCGAACAGCCATCAGTCACTGATGTTCTGCCAGCGGGTCCTCCAGTATTTTTTTTCTGTTTCGGCAAGGCAGCCGGGTGTCCGAAATGCAACCAAGAAAAAATATAAAAAAAATTTAAAAAGGAGTTAAGGGTTCCAACCTGCACGGAGCGTGGAGCGGGTCCAAAAGTTGGGCATGTGCTTGTGTATTTGTGTGGCCTTGTTTTGCCGCAGTAAACAGGGGCCGTAAACAGGGGCCGGGACACAGTTAGCCCGCGTTCCTCACATGGCCAAGAGGCTACTGAGCTGGCTCTCAGACTGAGCGTGAACACTGCAAGACTTACAGAATATTGGAGCGTCCGAATCTCAACCTTAAACAGAACAACAAAATGAGGCCTGCGTGGTTCTCCATTTGCTGATAAGGCAAAGCGAGGGACAAGGCAACGCAGCTTCCATTCCTTTGTCCCCGGTAATGTGACCCCATAACCCCAAACCATAACACCCAAAAACGCTTTCTGATCATGTCTGCCCAGAAACGACATGCAAATTCTTCTCGCAAACTTAACATATCATCCAGCACACATTCATGCAGGAATGTGCCCCAGCATGAACAAGATACCATCAGGTGGTCTGCGCATCCCGCCGATCCTTAAAGCTTAGAATAATTACGGCATACTCTAAAATGGAAACTTTTCTCCAAACAGGCTTTCTGTTAATAAAATTTAATGATATCAAAATCAAAAAGCAAACGGTTCAAAACACGCAACTCAGATTAAGCCGTCTGTTTTGACAGTGTACCTTAATCCAAGTGAGACGAGTATCATGGATGACAGGGAGGGTGACCACCCGTTAAGCAGCTCTTCGGTGACCACTGAACGTGTGTATGCGACGGCATGCACAGCAAGTTCCCCAACTGTTCAAAAGTGTTTTTAAAACAGTTTTGTGGTGTTTTTCGTGTTCTCCAGTCATTTTGACTACGTTTCCCAAAGATATACTGCAAAAGTCGCAAGTAAAGTTTCCTATCTCAGTTATCATGTCTATCCCCTATTTCTTAGTTATCAAAATTTTGGGGCTCAGCCCCCCAAAACAGATCTTTGGGAACTACACTCCTGCTGTCAGCTGCGAAAAAGTGCGTCAAATCTGGGGAGAAAACTGCTTTAAGTGTATTTCGGAGCTGGCTCAGCCATTTTTTCCGCACCCCACCCTCCCCCCCTTTCCTTTCTACCCCTTAGCCCTACGCATTTTGCAAAACTACATTCCTGTGACCCTACATTTACCGATAACATTCCTGTGACCCTACATTTACCGATAACGTGGTTCAACAGGCACCTGGAACAATATC